GATGGGTAATATTCGAAATAAGATTGTGAGTAAATGAATAGGTTTTATTCAGGGGTAATTGGTTAATTTTGTTAGACAAGATTCGGGGTAAATGGTTGTGGTGGCCTATGATTTAAGCTGTTTATGCAAAGTGTGACGGTACACCTATTATCTATACTACTGACATATATCACTCGCCTTATTCACATCCGTTTTGCTAGGAATTTATAGCAACGAAACGTTCGCACAAATTCATCACATCATTATAGAAAGCATTTCGGAGTCCGGCTCAATCGTCAGCTTGAAAATTCTATATAACAATGATATAATACCGGTAAGTAGTTGTCACAGTCTAAATATAAAAAATATAACTCAGTACTCACTGCAGTGAGTGACAGAGAGCGCATTTTCTCGTCGACGAAAACGTGGTCACGGGCGGACGGACGGACGGACGGACAGACGGACTGACATGACGAGCATAATAGCGCCTTTCTTCCATAAATGAGAAAATGCGCTAAAACACGCAGAAGTTAAAACCAATATCTACATACATTGACAATTTCAAGTGGATAAGAACTAATTAGGCTTCTGTTTAACAATATACATTAATTCTACACTACGCAAATCAGAAGCATCGGAGGTGGAAACTAAAACCTTGATGTCACTATCAGTTATAGAATAATCACATTGCTCGGTGTGTATGCGCACAGCCCATTTAGAGGGGCGCGCTAATTCGGTCTTATAACCCTCTACCGCCTGCATGGCATGAGTAACCGGAGCAATATTGTCACAAGCCTATTTCCCAAAAAGGATACGAAGCAATATCACTATCTCTTGGACGTGGATTTCTTTATTTGGGTAAACATTAAATTAGTCTGAAATCCGTTAAGCGAGACGACTTTCGCGAAAAAAGTCAAATTCTGCGTGCAAAGCATGGTATGTATACGAAAGCCTCAGCGTAATAAATCTAAAACATCGATGCCGGTAATATTAATTTATGGTACAAAGAAGTCTAGAAGCAATTGTTTCATTTAGTACCTTTATAATCGAGGGACGAAAAGCTATTGTTGGTTTCCATCTACATATTATATAATTCAACGATGGATCTTTAAAGTTGATATAATAAAAGAGAAGGCCCACGTAAGAGTGATCTCTTGGAGATTTGAAATGTTTCATCGATTTACAATATCTCTCGTCGATGTTGAAATTTGCAGCAACCCTTCGTTTAAAGAAATGAAACCTGGTGATCGTTCTAAACCGCTGTGGGAATGATTAGCTTTTAAAAGCTTTTGAAATTATCGGTTATGAATTCACTATCAATAAAGAAAACTTTAACTTGAAAACTTTAAACAAATTGATGGTCTTGCACTTGGTCTTACTTGTGATAATATTTTGGTGCGCTTTCGCGAGATGTCTTGGTTGGCTGATTGTCCAATTTATTATAAGCCTATTTTTTTTACAATATATATAGCAATATAATAGCTTCTCGTTTCTCGATTGTAAAGTTACTAAATATATTGGTCGATTTTAGATTTCTGTGTACCCTAAACCGGCCTTAAACGGCCTGGAAAAGAGTTTTCTCAATTTTTGTTCATTCAGCTTTAACCCTCTACCGCCGTATGTCACTCTACGGGAACATAACATTCAAGTTACAGTAGTGACTGTAGCAACCTGAGGACGATTGTCCGCTATAGAGAACATCTTAAATTTGTTGTACGCGTCAGCAACCATCAATGAAGGTCATTTTGTGCTCACCAGCAATTAAAGTATCATTTTTGGGAAGTAGGCTTGTGACGATGTTGCTCCAGTTTGTCATATTCAACTGATCATGGACGATCTGTTGATTGCATGTTACACATTGTATGTTACGCGATTGGATGTTACACATTCTGAATTTAATTAAAAAGATTAATTTGACATTGAATTGTTTATTGCTTTAAGATGCTTTTGAGGTTCGACATGTTCGTTCAGATGTTTAACTTGAGTTTTTTTTCAGACTTCGCAATATGTCTTACTGATAATATCGTATTTGTTTTCATAGTCTATAACAAATTTATCTAAGTGGTTTTTACATGCAATATGTGTTTATTCACATGAATTACTTGATTGGTCTACTCTCATTTTCCTTAAAAAATTATCCAAAGGGGTTTTACTTGCACTGTTTGTTTGTAAATGTAATGTAATGTAAATGGAAAAAATCAGTGAAGAAATTCGACCTATTTTCATTGTTCACGAACCACCTATTCGACCTATTTTCATTGTTCGACCTATTTTCATTGTCTTTTATGATTATGCAGAACACAAAATGATAAGAAAACTGAAATTCACGTCAAAGATAGTAAAACCGAAATCGATTAATGAAAGCAAATATACAAGAGATATCCCAGATCGGAGAGACCTATCAATTAACAAATTCTAGAGGATAACAGCTTGTAAGGGCACGCGATCCGCTCTTCTTAAAGTCACTTGTTCTGCATTCCAAAGCTAAACTCGACGCTAGGGCCGATTGTAGACTTAGATCTTGTCCACCCACACTCGACAGGTGAGCTTGTTAACCAACGGCTAATTCTGGTTCTATAATTTTGCTCTATATTTTTTTTGTGATGAATTATCCATTTTGAAATAGACCTTGAAATGCCCACGAAAGCAATACCTACATGACTGTTCAATCTCGACAGGTCGGACCTGAACGGCCGAACCTACCGTCCCGCAAGCTCAAATCTCGTTGCCTTATTTTACTTTAGATTATCCGGGTTACGTTCCATTACTTTACGTAACTCAGCTTTACTTTACTGCACTTAATGTAACTGTTCTTTGCTACCGTAACTTTTTCGTCACTTTGTCGTATTTTTGCTGAAGTTGACTCCCCTTTATTTAGCATTCTTTGATCTATTGTTAATAAATGTTTCTGTTTACTCCTGAAGTTGTTTTGCATCCACCCCATACGTTAAACGAACCGTATCCCTTGACACAGCTAAAGGTGGCATTCAAACTAAACTCACGTGTAAAAATATATAGGGATTCTAAAAGTCCGAGGTTAAAAACCCCGGTTGTGGAGGCTAAAACTCTAGAATCCCTATCGGATGCCGGGACGTTGCACCTACTGCTCGTCATGGACGCGTACAGCTATAAGACGAGTTGATTTTAAAATTATGATCTTGGCAATCAAAACGACGGAAAGATTGGCATTAGGTGATTAAGTTATGGAAATTTAATGGTGACTTGAAGAGAACGATTTCATTGTCACAATTTTACTATTCATCGGCGATTGTTTTAATTTAGTCAGGTTGCGACCGAAGCGTCTTAGGCTTTATTCGGAGGATCCGCGTAAATAAGTTCTCGCATGAAATAGGTTACGGCAAAAGGGTTGCAGAGAGGGTTGCAATGAAACACTGGTACGTTTGATATTAACTATTAAATTCAAGTTACTTCCTGCGTTAACCAAAAATCTCTAGTACAGGAGAAGGATTAATCCGAACACAATCAAAGTTGAAAATCTATTAGTTTACATCACTTAAATCGGCTACTTTCACCATGAAACATTGATCCGCTGCAGTTCCGTTGAGTTGTACGACTGTCGTAAATGACCGTACCTCACGCGCATGTTTGCTGTCGTGTCCCTATCGGCCGTACCCAGGCCGCACGTTCCCCGCGGTCTCCATTCACAGTCGATTTGTCTTCATAGCCGTAATCTCCACGCTTAGATTGATGTCTCACGGCTGGTCTGACCGTAGAATTTATCACGACCGTCCTTCTGAATAGTGACGTGGTTTTCATCGTCGATGATGTTACTCCAAGCTCATTGCCGTACTTCTGTTGTTGGTGATCGTGACCGCTACTGACGATTACTGACCATCGCTACTGACGATGACCGTGACGATGAGAATTATTGCGCAGTGCTCGATCTTGAATGTTCTGTTTACTGGCATTAATATCGTTGAACGTTTTGCTGTCTATCACGCTGTCTCACGACTAAGTCACAGCCGAAGCAATGATGTTGACCGTACAAATAAGCGAAGTTGCGGGAGTTACTCGTAGATTTCTGACGTCATTACATCGGAGCTGGAGTGGTATGTATGTATACATCTTGGAGTTTCGCGCGGCCGTTTTTTTCTGGCCCTGACGACCGGCGGCCGAGGCCGTCACCTAACACTGCGGAGATGGCTGCAGACTGTACTGGTGTGACGGTCACCACAATAAACAACCCTTTTGCCTGAATTTTAGGGTCCTTTTATAAGCAGACGGCGCGCACACACAAGTCTTTGAAGGAACGTCGCGACAGTTTCGAGTTCCCTTTGATACCCTTGGCCAACTTAATACGGCGTAATTAATCTCCGGTCCCGGCGTTTCAATATTCCCATTCTCAGATTCCCAACTCCGAGCTTCAAAGTTTACTTGAGTGGAAAACCAAGGTTTTTACTTTAAACATGTGTACATTGTATAGATATAAAAAATATAAAAATTGTTTAGGGTGAAAGTCTACCAGTGTTGCCTTTCTTAACTTTTACAATTTAGACTCTTCGAGTGTTTCTGAAGCCAGATTCTGGTTCTGTATCGAGGCAGCTTGAGTCGGAGCCTGCGCCAGGGGGAGAGCATCTAACTGCTTCACCCACTCCGTCTGATGCTGATCGTGATCGTAAGACAAGTTCACGAATGATCCATCTATGCAAAGGAAATTCTGTTCCATTAATTAATAAAAACATACAAAGTGTGTTGCAGTAGCATAACAAGTTATTGCAAATATGGAATGTTAGAATTTCGCAACAACACTGAACTAAATTATTTAAATGAGAATTGATTGCTGGAGGATTTCATGCAGCAAATAATGTGGGGAAAATATTAACTTTAAAGATTATGTTCATATATTATCAAAGCACGTTGAGTGATTGAAATGCTTCATCAGCTAGTAATGACGAGGACAAGTTTGTAAAAAATAATTTAACGGCACACTCCATGTCATTTGAAGGCGCTGTGCCTCGATTGATTTGTTAAATTAAAAAATCATCTTCTGATTTAGAGATGGATAAATGCTGTCAATGACATTAGGCATATTTCAGTAATTTTTTGGAATTAACGTTCACCCGACTTCATAGAGAGAATTCATGAATTAATTTACAATTTATTCGAAAGCACTCAATATACGGACTCACTCATATCATTATTGGAAATCAAATTCAAATCCGTTACAGTATTTACTGAGTCAATCTGAACGTGCTTATGCTAACATTCAAACGCATAATTGCTCAGCATTCAAATTTATTATTACTCATTTTAAAACCCATAATTACTCACATCCACGCTTAATATTACTAACAATTCAAACTTTTCATCAATCACATTTCAAAATGTATTATTGCTCACCATAAGTGTTTGTAATTTCTTCGAAGTCGTCATACAGATCGAAATCAGTGAACCCAGCGATGTCGTAATGCTGTAAAAACGAAATCGTTTTTATCAGCAGATTGGTCTATACCTTTATCATTAGGAGCACCCTATATAAGCTACTTCTATACAATGAAATATATTTTAATTGAAATAGATGGGTAACAAGAAACATCTTACTTCAACAGTTAACCGGGAGATTTTGGCATTAAACTTGGCAATCAACAGCAACTTGATTTATCAGTTAACTGGGACGAGTTGGTATTCAACTTGGCAATCAACAGCTTACTTTTAAAGTTAACAGAAACGAGTTGGTATTCAACTAGTCAATCAACAGCAACTTATTTCAATAGTTATCTGAGAGTTGGTATGCTAACAAAATCCGGTAACGATAGGCTTCTGCCCATTTTGTAGTCGCTACCCTCGGCTTAGAGTCATTCTAGATCTGCTTGGGTACCCGATCAAATCAGCTTCTGACTAGATTGCCCTGTCTGACTTTAAAGTGTCCCGAATGGCACCGGTTTACCAAAGCCGACTCATATACCGAGTTTGCGAACTTCTCAGAAGGTGCCCTTCAAGCCCGACGTAAGCGGTCATAGAGCGGCTGATGTTCGAGCCCTATACGAGTCAATCAGGCGGCACCTGTTGCAGAGGCGGGCTGGCCACTAAATTTTGTTATGGTATTCCACTAAGCAATCAACAGTAGCTTACTTCAACAGTTAACTGGGAGGAGCAGGTAGAGGACCTGCTCCTGAAGGGGAGAGACCTCCTGTGAGTCTTCATAGGGGCGCCGATGACGGACACGTCTCCTGAAGACCGTCGTCTTCTGTCTGCTTTCTCCTGTTTGAGAGTTTCCATGTATTGGTGGTGAGCTCTGCGGACAGGGCATATGTCGTGTTAGTGAACCTAACTAGTTCATAAGAATGTGACCAATATTCAAATTTATATTTATCCTTCTTATAGCACTTACATTCAGAAAAAATGTAACTCAGTACTCACTGCAGTACAGAGAGGGCATTTTCTCGTCGACAAAAACGTGAAGTCACAGACGGACAGACAGACGGACAGACATGACGAGCATAATAGTGCATTTTTTCCATAAATGAGAAAATGCGCTGAAAAAACTGGGTCATAATTTCCAAATATTGACGTATTATTTGCAATGATTTACCCTTTACCCGGCAAAACATGGTCACGATAACCCACACATGAATAAAAGTGCATCGGGATTTGGACAGTCTCTAACATTTTTTTAACCGATAAATAAAGTATTTCGATTATCTACAATGCTGTAGCTTAATTAGTAATGAGTTAGTTTTACACTTTCTATACCATCGGCTGTTGGGCTCCAAGTACCTGTCAGAGTGTGGGCCAACTGTCAAAATTTTATTCTAAACGGTATAATAAAGCTTAAGGCAATTGATGGGTGAGGTAATAACTATTTAGGCTTTTGGGGCAGCGGTTATAATGCAAATGCAGATGAATTAATAAACTTTTTGACTAATTAATTTTATGACAAAATATTAGGTAATACGTTAATTATTGATTTTTCAACATAATTCACTCAATTACGTGCAGCCTAAGGTATGAATGATATTAACCAAGATATTAACCTAGATATTAACCAAACGTAAATGATTAATTTTATTGTAATATAACTTTGATAAGTATTATTTATAACGTGATTAAATAATTATTCATTATTTCCTCACTTGTTTTGACTAAATAATTTTATGACGAAATATTATTTAATACGGTAAGTATTAATTTTTCAACATAATTCACTCAATTACGTGCAGCCCGTCACTAAGGAATGAATGACACTAGATATGAACCAAACGAAAATGATTAATTTTATTGTAATATAACTTTAATAAATGTTATTTATAACATGATTAAATAATTATTCCGTATTTCTTCACTTGTTTTTATTGTTTTTAGCCGTAAAGACCCAAGCTGCCGCAGCCAGCAGTGCCGTGACCACCAGCAGAAAAGCCACGACTCCCCCAATGGCGCCCCAGCTCTCGTGGTCCACGGTCTCTTCGCAAGGCTGGTGCATACATTTTTTTAATCATTGAAAAGAATACACTCTTCACAAGGCTGGTGCATACATTTTTTTAATCATTGAAAAGANCATTTTTTTAATCATTGAAAAGAGAACACTCTTCACAAGGCTGGTGCATACATTTTTTTAATCATTGAAAACAATACACTCTTCACAAGGCTGGTGCATACATTTTTGATCATTGAAAAGAATACACTCTTCACAAGGCTGGTGCATACATTTTTAATCATTGAAAAGAATACAATTATTGTCAGCATACATTAGTTTTGTATTATGTACAATTAGAATTTGAAATAGAGCATTCTCGATCAAGATTATGAGCTTGGGCTGATATATATGATGATGATTTTTTCGAATAAAATATAGCTTGATGGTTTCTGAAGAAATTTGTTCCAGTAATTTAGGTTTAGGCACAAGAAAAGGGTGAAAAACCTGACTTGAATGAAGAAATTTTTTAGTGTAACTTCTGGTTAATATAAAATAATGCTTATGAAATAAAAAAACATTTAAAAGGAAGAAAGTTGGGAGACCAATCACTTGTCAGCGATGGGGACTAAATTTGTAGTCAGAATGACACACACCGGGGCGAAAAATGCATCACTATTTGAACAAAGTCTTATCAGTGTAGCGACTCACTTCACAGTCACTGCACATTTGCTCCCACTGCTCCTGCAGCGCCGGATCCCTGGGTACAACTTGACGTTAGGGGGTACAACTTGACGTTAGAGGTACAACTTGACGTTAGAGGTACAACTTGACGTTAGGGGTACAACGTAACGTTAGAGTTAGGAGCACAACTTGACGTTAGGGGTACAACTTAACGTTAGGGGTATAACTTGACGTTAGAGGCACAACTTGACGTTAGGGGTACAACTTGACGTTAGGGGTACAACTTGACGTTAGGGGAACAACTTTACTTTAGGAGTACAACTTGACGTTAGGAGCACAACTTGACGTTTGGGATACAACTTAACGTTAGGAGTATAACTTGACGTTGGGGGCACAACTTGACGTTAGGGGTACAACTTGACGTTAGGGGTACAACTTGACGTTAGGGGTACAACTTGACGTTAGGGGACAACTTAACGTTAGGGGTACAACTTGACGTTAGAGGTACAACTTGACGTTAGAGGTACAACTAAACGTTAGAGGTACAACTTAACGTTACGGGTACAACTAAACGTTAGAGGTACAACTTGACGTTAGGGGTACAACTTGACGTTAGAGGTACAACTTGATGTTAGAGGTACAACTTGACGTTAGATGTTAGGGGTACAACTTGACGTTAGGGGTACAACTTGACGTTAGGGGTACAACTTGAGGTTAGGGGTACAACTTGACGTTAGAGGTACAACTTGACGTTAGAGGTACAACTTGACGTTAGTTGTACAACTTGACGTTAGGTGTACAACTTGACGTTAGGGGTACAACTTAACGTTAGGGGTATAACTTGACGTTAGGGGTACAACTTGATGTTAGGGGTACAACTTGACGTTAGGGAATGAAAGAGGACCATTCTGTTGATAGATGTACTTCATCAAGCTCACGCTGATAACAACATTGTATGCACTCAATCATTTGATCGTGTAGTAAATTCTTTAATGTTACATACTGTATATTGTCCCATGAAAATATTTTTTTTATTATCAGACACCAGTCTTCGAAGCAAGAACCTAACAGCTCATTTTGACCGTTTTTGTTGATAAAGTTAATTAATATTCAACTAGATTGAGAAATATTAGACTCAAAGACACTGATGCAAATCTTTGTAACTCGACTCATGCTTACGACCATTTCAATCAACGTTACTCAACGAAACTGATATAAGTATTAATATCACTTGATTGCTTAAATAAATCGAAACTGAAAGAAATGTCTATCTATTTGGATAAATACTTATATAAATTTTGCTGCATAGCAGTCGCTGACCTGATCATATCATCCAGCACTGATGTGGTGAAGGCCCAGTTGTCGCCTGTAGCGTCAAGTTTACTGATGGAGAAGTTGAAGGCAGCACACGTGCTCGAACACACGTGTCCACTACACGTGGTTATTGCGTACACATGGACGTCAGTAGCGCTGCACGTGTACATAATAATGAACTGTAATTTCTTGTTAAGAGACGTGTTAATATTATTAACAAGAACTGGTAAACATGCAGTAAAGTTAAGACAGTAGGACACATGTAAAGTTAAGACAGTACATAAATTTACATCCGTCCTTTGTGTACTGTGGGGGATAACCAACCTGAGGTGGGGGTGACTGGGGGAGCAACCCTCCTGTAGTGGAGGTGGTTGGGGAGTAACCAACATAAGATGGAGGGGAGGGTGGGGGTAACCAACTTGAGGAGGGAGGTGGTTACTGGTTAGGGGGAGTAAACAACCTAAGGTAGGGATGGTTGGGTCCACTGGTAGTTCTACGACCATCACTGGCTCGCTCACCCGCCAGAACCATTTTATTGCATTACACAACACCCTGGACAAGCCAGGTACTCATTTATCAACCAGAGTTGGATGAATGGCTGAGTTGACCATGAGCTGAGCTTCCCGGAAGAACTTGTCCTCAGTGGTACTCGAACCCGGGAGCTGGGTGCGAGAGACAGAGTTTCTCTCCACTGCACCACCACAGCTCTGTCGGGGGAGTAACCAAGCTAAGGTAGGGATGGTCGGGGAAGTAACCAATCTAAGGTGGGGGATGGTTAGGGAAGTAACCCTCTTAATCATCAGTGGTGGGTAGAGGTGACCCACCTTACAGATGGCGGTGGGGTGACCCACCTTACAGATGGCGGTGGGGTGACCGGCAGGCCGATGCGTTGGATGTACGCGGTGGCGACGGAGGAGAGCGTAGCTGTGAACGCGTCCTCCAGGGACGAGGTGGTCGAGTAGCTCTTAACAATTAATTAAATTAATTTAGGGTACAAATAGTGTTCAATAGTGTTCAATAGTCACTTTTGAACACTATTGAACACTTTTAAATTGTGTTCAATAGTGTTCAGCAGCCACTATTGAACACTATTGAACACTATTGAACACTTTCAGATGGTGTTCAATAGTGTTCAGCAGCCACTATTGAACACTATTGAACACTATTGAACACTTTCAAAAAGTGTTCAATAGTGTTCATTTGTGTTAAATAGCGGCTATTGAACACTCGGTTGTATTTAAATAAGTATAGGCAATTAAGTTATTTTAGGAAATTTATAAACATTATGCATTTATATTCTTGCATATATAATAGAACGTTTATTTGAAAAAAAGTTTTATTAAAATGATTTCCGATTTTATCATAAACTTTAATGTCGTTTAGGTTTTCCGTGTAACACAACTCTTCTCACCATCATGGGATATATGCGTTTAGAGACAACACAAAAAGATTGTTCATCGACAACCTAGCTGCTGCTGGAGACCCATGACAAAAATTCCCGATCCGTAGTTCGCAAAATTTGACTTGGGATGATTTTTCGAGTACAATATAAGATGCATTTAAAACCAGGAAAAATTCGATTTTCAGAACTAATGGCCATAAAAATCTCTCGAATAGCCGATGCAAAACCCTCTGCATGGCGCACGCTTCTACCATGGGGCGAAGTAGGTGTGAACCTGTCTTAAATGTGGTTCTTCAATTGGTTCGCGGCTGTCTGCATCATTATACGTCATGACGAAGCAACACGTCTACAGTTCACATCATGAGAAAATAAGACGTTCGTAATCATAACAGCACAATTTGTGTTGCCATTGATGTTAACCCTTCAAAAAATGGTTTGAATGATAGCTTCATGTTCCGTGTGTGACCTTACTTCTGGAACTAAATATTTTCGACTAGAGGAGTTTGCATTATACGATATTTTGCAAACTCCAAAATATCCCCAAAAATTGCATGATGCGATATTTTCGCGTGAATTATTGATTACATAGAATAGTTGAATTTATTCACGCTGATTGTGTGCCATAAGGAGTGTAATTATAATTGATTGATTGTATGCCATACGGATTATCAAACATCATTTATAGTGACTGATTAGGATTCAACACCCACTGTTGATAAATACTAATGATGAATGCACAAATAAAACATAATTCCTCGGCGTCAAAATGAATGCATTTTTATGTGAGGCAGAAATACGAATTAAGTTTGTTGTGCATAAACAGAAAATGTGAAAACTGGTTATAGCAATAAGATAGACCTCGAAATAAATTTTAATTGGATATAATCTATTTTCTTCTTGACATCTTAGGGCTAACCTGCTTCCGGTAAACGCCTCCAGTAGCAATGCAAGGTTAACCTGCTGCTTATCACTAACATCTTTCCGATTCACATAGCCTCGAGCTAACCTGCTTTTATTTTAATGCTACTGAGACATGCTAATTCAGTTTTGAATATACAAATTTGTAACAACTGTTGATTAATTGATTATCAGAAATAATTATGCACTTGTAATAACTCACAGCCTGGGCACTGTCGATGGCGGCCCAGGTGGTGGGGAGGGGGAGGCTGATGGGGGGCGGAGCGGTGGAGGGAGGAGGAGTGGGGAGCACCACGAGGGTGTCTGTTGGAGGAGGGAATATAGTTATGTAGTCCATAGACCTTATATTGTCCTCTAGGTAAGAAGGTAGGCTTGCCTTCTAGATAAAAGGCTATGTCTTTCCTTCTAGATAAATGGGTGGTATATAGTATTGCCTTCTAGAAAAAACTATGTCTTTCCGTCTAGACAAACGGATAGTATTGACTTAAAAAAAATTTGATTTTACCTTCTAAATATGAGGGTAGTCCGGTCTTCTGGATGAGAGAGCAGTCTTGCATATAATACCAAAATGTATTCGAATTCCATCGGTATGAGTATCAAGTCAACATTAGTACCTCTGATAGCCTTGTAGTTGATTGAGAATCCCGTGGCGAGCTGTTCATGGTAGTCGCCATAGAAGACGACGTGCGCCTTGTGGTAGTTGACGCGGATGGTTAGGTTGGTGGCCGCCCGGCCGTAGAGCAACATGTCCGTTCCGGCTAAAATTTCATCACCTGCAGGTATTCACATATTGCCATGCATCAAAAACAATGAACGGGATGATATTTTTGATAGAAGACCCAAAAAGCATCAAAATAAATGCTCGCGGTGGCAGAGTGGTTGAGATTACCAAGATAACAGCCGCAAGTTGAGGGTTCCACTTCTGGGTGAAATCTGCGAGGTGGCTCAGAATCGGCGACAGACCAACATGACTGAAACCACAATATTACACTTTTCCACGAACAACAACATCTTCGAAAATGATTTGCTAATATAAATCAGTCATTACTTAAAATGTCTCTTAAAGCCTATTTTTAGTCAAGTCCGCGACCGACCCAGCCCGATGAGGAGGAAGTCGTTCTGCGTGCAGTTGCTGAGGCTGAAGTCATGCAGGTAAGTGGAGCGCGAGCCGAGGTCCTGCTTCGCGATGCTGAACTCCACGGCGTAGTTCTCGGGGTACGAGAAAACGTACTCCAGCCTGACCAGAGACCGAACTATCATAAATAGTCCCGAGTGCCTAACTCCGTTAGACAATCACTGCTGAATTTTCAAGCTAAATCAACCAATCGCACACGAGAAATCGGCTGTTACGAGGTCTTATAACCGATCTTTGATAGTACAGCTTCTGTTCGCTTGGGTTAATGTTACATCAGTAATAGGCAAAAAACTTGTGGAATACTAGTGTCGAACACATTACTATGAACACACGTTACTGTGAATTTCATTTGATTTCGATTACCTAGCTTTTCTTCGTATAGTAGTATATTGTTAGTTTAACCAAAACTGAAGTTCAATAATGAGAAAGTTCAAAAGGAAGACAATGAAGATAGAAGAAAATTGAAAACAAAAGAATATGAAATAAGTATGGAAAATAGTTGGACACAACTAAGGAGAAGCTACGGCACTAGATAAGAAAGAAGTAGAGCAAGGGAACTGTTTGGAAAAGTTAATGATGGATTAAGAAGAGCAAAAAATGTGTTAGGTAAGGAGTAAGATATAAGTATATAAGGAGGCCAGTGAGATAGAAAAAAGAGATAAAGAAAGCGATAGGGAATGAGACAGAGAAAAAGACTTTATGAGAGAGAGAGAGAGAGAAAGAAAAATACAGAAAGAGATAGAAAAGGACATAAAGAGATAGAAACTGAAAAATATGCGTTTAAAAAGTACTTTTCAAAGACCACGCTTCTAAATCGATGTCTTCGATGTTACACATGTACAATGAATTTTTTATTTTATTTTCAAAGATTTAAAAAAATGGTTTAATTTTTTTAAATCCATGTTTTATTTTGTCAATTGATTCCTGCATTGTCTCTGGTTTTACGCAAGTGTGCAAAATTTCAGATCGATTGGACAGGTAGATATTTATTCCAATTATTATTTGGACTGGTTATCTACCAGTCCAAAATGGACTGGTAGATAAATTTCAGATATTGGAAGTGTGTCAAATATCGATTATGAGATTTGTAGCAGACAGACAACAATAAGTGATGTTAAAGAGAAGTGTTGTAATAATAACATGCATTTAAAATTTATTTTTAAAGACAACACTTCAACAGAATCCAGTGTCTCTGATGTTACACATGTACAATGAATTTATTATTTTATTTTCGAATAAGAAAATAATTTTTCAAATTTTTTAATATATAAAAAAATTCAAAATTATTTATTCTGTCAATTGATTCATGCATTGTCTGCGACTTTACACAAGTGTTCTAAACTGGACAGGTAGAAGTGTGTTAAACATCGATTATAAGATTTCTAGAAGACAAAATTATTTTTTCAATTTTTTTTAATATTATTTTTTTTACTTTTTTAAATTAATTATTTTGTCAATTGATTCATGCATTGTTTTAAACTTTACGCAGGTTTGTAAAATTTCAGATCGATTGGAGAGGTAGAAGTGTGTTAAATATCAATTATGAGATTTGTAGCTGACAGACGAAAATACGCCTATAATAAATTATTGTGACTAGTGTTCCCCCTGACCTCTTCTGAGGCGGGTAGCCCCAACCCTCGATGAGGACTTGCGCATCGTCAGGAAAAGCGATGGTGCCTGACGTGTGTGATATGGTGGTCGTGTTGAACTCTGAAGAATGGATTAAAATTCTCCAGTGTATACTGAAATTGTTGTTTTTATAATCCTAAAGACGATAATAAAATATAAAATTCTAAATCAAGTTAATGATATTGATATGAATATGCTTTTGATTGATCAGTATGAAAACGTTCAATCACTTGCAGCGTAGTGCACAATGTAAACTTGCTTGAAAGGAAGAAAAAATGAATACGGATTCAACGTAATTGTTCATAACGTTCCAGATCTCGCTAAGATAGCAGTAAAATTATTGGGATTGCTTTTAGTTTATAAATATTATTATAGATAATTTAATTATGTTTTAAAAATTAATCTTATAAAATAGTCAATCTTTTATGGGACGGTATTTTGAATCGTTTATCCATAATGATAATTAATATCCATATTTTTATTACCAATCACATGGCTTTATTATTGAATGTCTTCATGGCCATCATTCATAGTCATCACAGTGATCAATCACCGCCATGACAACGATCACTCACCACCATCACAGTGATCACTCACTACCATCACAGTGATCACTCACCATCATCACAGAGATCACTCACCACCATCACAGTGATCACTCACCATCATCACAGAGATCACTCACCACCATCACAGTGATCACTCACCACCATCACAATGATCACTCACCACCATCACAGTGATCACTCACCACCATCACAGTGATCACTCACCACCATCACAGTGATCACTCACCACCATCACAGAGATCACTCACCTTCATCACAGCGATCACTCACCACCATCACAGTGATCACTCACCATCATCACTGCGATTACTCACCTGGCCTGATGGCAGCGTACCACACTTCGATGTCGCACTCATCACTCATCATCGTGATGATGACGGAGTCGGTGGTGGTGATGTAGAAGGTGGTCAGGTCACGTAGGTCGTTCTCGTTTTTTATTTCATACGAACCAATGATGAAGAAACAAGCCTCGCTCAGCGTTGAAGTTTCGTTTTTGTCAACCCACGTCATCACTGAGAAGGTGTCATCGGCCTCGAATGTGAATACTGAAGAGCTGTTCAACTGGAAATGCAAGCTATGTTAGGAGCCGCGGTTACCTTGAAGAGCGAAGTTACCCTCGCAGAAAGAGGGCAGTTACCAATTGCGAAGCGAAGTTACCCTCGCAGAAAGAGGTGAAAAATGAACTTTGAAAATCAATCAATTGAACTAAACAATTGACAGAATTCATACCGATCTTTAGGAGCTGGCGAGACCATCCAGGTAAAGATATATGAGGCAGTTATAAACAATAATCAATTTAAATGCTGTAATTAAATGGCGTATGAGTGTATTCGAATATAAATTCAGAGAAAAGGAAACAAGAGTCCAAACTGAGAACTTTGTTTCTAATTTTTTAAAAATATTTTTTCACTAGATTACATGTGTTTGATAAACGTTTGTAGATCAATTTAATATTCATGTGAAGTAAAATTTATAATATAATAGTGATATTTAAACATGAGGGTCTCCAAAGAAATAGACAATGCGTCAGATTACACATCATGAACCAATTTTAAACATTATCTTTTGAATTTGTGTCATTTTAATACTTTTGGAGCTTCGGCATACATTATTGTTATCGAATTCAACACTCGAGATATAATTCCTATGATTATTAATTAATTTGATTGAAAAATATAACTTTCAGTTCGTGAATAAACTTACTCTGTTAATCATCACTCCGTATCCAACTGGACAGCTACACTCGTTCTCTTCACAGCTACATTCTTGAAAATCTACTGTATCTTTTGAACCGATTAAATTGCCATCTCCAGTTTTTATGTGATCTGTCTTTGTAACCGTTGATTTAAAGGAAAAGCCCTCAATGGGTTCATCTGCTGATGATTTTAGGTTATACGAGTAGGCGTGTTCTCCGATTTTCAGATATGACGTCCGAGCTTCGTCCATGTTGCCGGGAGCCAAGATGGTTGTAACCTCAACAGCCGCAGCAGCCTCGAGCCAACTCAGCAACATGACTGTGAATCATAATAATTGAAGCCATCACAGCATTCTCGTAGCAGTATCACACTACATACATTCAAGCTACAGTATTGCATCACATGCATTCACGCTACAGTATTACACCACATGCATTCACGCTACAATATTACTTCTCATGCATTCACGCTGCAGAATTGCATCACATGCATTAACGCTACAGTACTGCATCACATGCATTCACGCTACAGTATTGCATAACATGCATTCACGCTACTGTCTTACATAACATGCATTCACGCTGCAGTATTGCATCACATACATTCAAGCTACAGTGCAGGATTATCATGCAGATATAAGCGTTGTTAAGCAAAACTTCTTCATTTATGCAGGTTTTAGACAAGACCAGAGCATGCTTTTTATTAACTATTTCCTTATTGTTTTTTAATAAACCGAACAATATTTCTCGCTTTCTGTTGGGAGATAAAAAAGTGGGTTTACAAATGACATTTTACTGAAATACGACGTTTCAAATGTTCAACATTCACTCTCAAGTAGGTGAAGAGTTTTACAACGGTTGAAATTTGGATATGGCATAAGTACATACAAAAGGTATCGTAGATACGGCTCGAAATCAGAACTCAAAATTATTAGAATTTGAGGGCTGTGTGGGCTGAGGCTCCATCCGTTAGAACCAGACTTTCCGGACCTTCATTTCAGACAGTTTTGGGAGAATAAAGGCGAAAATATTTCACGTGTACAGGGCAGAGATTAACGAAACTTCGCTAAGTACACGTAACTTTTCGTACTTACGTTAAAAAGTTACGTATTGCGTATGTCAGTCAAAAATTGGCATTAATAAAACTGTCTTACGCAAGACTCGTCTGAAAAGGTATTATCGAAACCATCAAACTAACTGACCAATCAGAGGCTTTGAATTTGCTATTCTAGCTCCTGTCGACTCAGTGCGCAGTACGCGTGGATGAAAGGAGGTTGTGTCGTGTCAGCGGCATCTGCGTTGACTGACTAGGGAGTATATGGAGAAATCAGTGAGACGTTGTCCAAATAGCATAGACAACGCATTGATTGTAATTTTTTGCAATTAAGCCAATAAATTACATTATCCCCATTGAAAATTAGAGGAGAGGGCTTTTTTTCGAGAGCCACCTAAAATTTAGAACATTTTGCGAGTTTGAGTTCAACTATCAGCGGAGAACGAAAGGAATTTGTGTACGTAGCTAGAAAAATGGCTGGCTTGTCAACCTCAACTTAATTTTAAATCAAAAAGGCATGAAGATATCGTTTCAGTGAATGATCATAAAACTCCTAGTTATAAATATCAAAATTTGCTTTTAAATTATAGCACAAAAGGAAAACAAATTAGCTGGCATTAACTCAATTAATTTTTTTCCAAAAACACCGTTTAGCACGATCACGTATTATGTCTATATTAAATTATTGACAAAATTCTATCACAATTCACCGTGTTGCAAGTAAATCAATAGTTTTATATTGCTTCGACACACTCAAAATTTGTACGTAACTCCACTAACGACACCTCCGAGCAGGCGTAGAGCTACGTACTGTTTCTTGTACGTAGCTTCCCGCGCAAATGTTTTGATAATACCACCGCTAGAGTTCCGTCATCATAGCAGCACTTACGCCACACGTAAGTCGCTACGAGTACTTAGCGATGTTTTGACAATCCGGCCCCTGAGCTGCAGTCACTTTTACTGCGGGCGTTCGTTTTCCTCTAAGTCCTAAGAAATAAGGACCAATTATGCCGACGTTAGACACCGCACAACACAGTCTCGCATTCACAATAAAGTGACCGCTGATGGATGCATTTACTCTCTCAAGTACTGCTTGAGAGTAAATGCACGCTGCTCAATTGTCCAATGCAAAGTGGCATCCAACTAAGCAGGACATAAAACATCATGAACTTATCTTTCATTTAAAATATTTACGGCCTATTTTCTACTATATCTCGCAGCTTGGTGCGTAATAAAAAACAGGAAATTTTCGTGAATCACCCTGTACTGACTTAATCACCCTGTCATTTCCAAATTTTAAATTTTTAGGTGCCGCAAAACTTTTCACCTACTTGGGTGAAAATGTTGAATATTAGAAACGTTGTATTCCAGTCAAATGTCATTTGGTAACCTGCTCTTTGATTTCCCAACACTCGCAGAAAATTTTGTTTGGCACTTTTGAAAAAAAAAGAAACAGTAAGAAAATAGTTAATAAAAAGCATGCTCTGGTCGTCAATTAACCCTGCATAGATTATCTTGCACCGCAGGATTATTTTACCCCGCGCGATTAGTCTACAGTCTACACTGCGCGATTATTCAACACAGCATTATTATTTTACACTGCTCGGTTATTCAACACTACCCGATTATTCTGCACTGCTCGGATATTTTAGTCTACACGATAATTATCCCTGCGCCATTATTTTTCACTGTGCGATCATTTTACACTGCTCAATTATTTTACACCATTACTGCAAGATTATTCTACACTACACATGGAAGACAACTTGATAATTTATACATGTATTAACCCTGAGTGAAGTCGTGTCGGATGAAAACGTGACCGAGCACTCACGCGAGAGAGTGATTATTTATACAAAAAGATTTGTCTTATTATTCATACTTCAATGCAATGAATTAAAATGAGAAAATTCCTTTACTTACTATGTTCCTTCGTATGGAAGTGAATATCATCGGACTATCATCGGAATAACATTGGAAAAAGTAAAGACAATATAATTCGAATAGCAGAAAAGGCAAGAAGTGAATAAACATTACCGAAATTTTAGATACCTGTCAATACGACGATGTTACGTAGAAGTTTAGAATAAAAATTTAGCGCCATTTTTTTCTCTCCCACAAGATGATCGTCTGGAGCCACAGTCAATTTGTGTCGACAATAATTATTGCCGACACACATGTCACTATTCGTGTCGATAATTGTGTGCAGACATAGACACTAATTAACTTTCATTTCTCACAATTATTCTGATATAACAACTGTGGAGTATTGTCAACAAATGTCAGTACAATAACACTGCAGGGACATGAATAAAAATATATCAAGATAGCATGCGAAGGGCTTCTTGTTTGTACGCTGTTATCGATAAAAAAACGCATATGGAGATAGATTATTGAGGATCTCGGGTAGTGAGTGTGCGATTGTAAAGACCATACTTTTTTTTGTTATCGATGTCCATATCTACCATGATGTCTTCAGTACGAGCGCTGCGATAGCAGTCGTTAAGGAGAATAAATATAATTACTGTGCTTACAATCTATAGTTACGCCGCTACATTTATACACTTCTTTCGTTAACCTTAAAAATCTTGGATCTTCATATGCGTATGCATATGAACTGAGTATACGTAACGATATATTTACGTACATGCTATTTGTAACGATCTATGCAGAATTTCAGCATGTAACTGAAGGCTTACAGTGTTATCAATATCGTTATAGTATCAGTATGTTGATATTTTTACAGAAAAACAGCGATGTATCAATAATTAGAAACTACACAACAGTGTGGCCCCGGTTACGATTGTGAAGCTATAATATAGTATTGTGATGCTATAGTAATTTCATTTGACCCTTTCTTGACATGATAATGTAATAGATTTGTTTAGTCCATATAGGATGATCTTCGATCGAGCTGCGTCCATAGCAAAATAATATTTGTATCCAGCTAGAAGAGATGTACCAGAGATCGAATTTATTATAAATTTGTTCATTTTATATGCACATGAACATGATTCTGAAACTGTAATCAACAGAAATGCGCTCCTACATAATTTTCGGTGACTGTGAGCCATACATATAAAAGCGATTTAGAAACTACGCCGTCTTCATAGTAATAAAATCCTGTAGTAATGCGATAAAACCATAAGAAAATGCCTAAAGAATTTCATTAATTATCATTTAATTTCGCCATGACAAATTCTATCAGTCGTGGCAATTCAATCTGTCATATCTGCCATGAAATGTCAATCAAAAAGGCGATAAATCCGAAAAATGATTCAACATTATAATTATGGAAACACAATAAATGAATAAACAACAGTGACTTTCAATCTGCAGCCTGAAGCTTCTCAGGATGCAGCTAATAGAGTAGTAACAAGCGGATGATGATCACCGAAGTTATTAATCGATGATGACGAACTTAGGTCATTTAATGTTATTGGGCGGTCTGGGAGCTCCTTGTTAGCTACTTTAATATTCGTCGCTGGAACGAATTTCTGATTTCCGTGCGTGATATAAATTATAATGTCGTTAGTCTCGGAAAGTTCTTCATTTTCTATGATGCCAGGACGATCAAAAACGATTAATAGAAGGCTAACTACGCCAAATGCTCGGAGAAGCTGCCGGGGCGGGATGCGGGTGCTGAGATTTTTATTATATTATAATAAAATAATAGCGATTTCAGCGTGGATTAGACCGTAGATCTGTCGCTGATTCTGAAGTTTGCAGAACATTCACAGCTTATTGCTGTCTCGAACATGTAGCTCGTCGTGCAATTTTGCTGTGCTTAACCGCCTTCTTCCTCGCCGATTTGACGAACTGTGCGTTTCAAATAGCTGGGATAGAACCTGCACCTCTCTGCTCCTAGTGATCTATGACCACTGGGCCAGTGTCAGGATAATGAAAGTTTTTCATGAGCTCCGGAGGCGAAGTTTGGAAAATATTTCATTTCTAGAAGCATAGAAATAAATTCAACCAGATTACACAAATTGAATCACACACAACTCTCGCCAAGAATTGATGAGCCACTGAAAGGATTCACAAGGTTGAATCAAGCCCAAAAATGAAATTTTATTTAGGACACAACAGTTGAATATGTATGTTCACCTAGACTAGCATTGATATTCTGGCATTAGTCCAATATTCAATGGGCCGTTCCTACATGTAATAACAGGTAACTAGCAGACCTGTTCGTTTGTTACAGTATTTTGACTCGCACCGTAGTGAATAATCTCGTTTTGCCAGGAATATTTAAGACTTGTCTCATTTGATGTCACGTAAAATATCCGGGTGAATTTTTAAATGTGGGACAAGATTGTCGTCTGGTTACATAATTTCTTCCCGGGACATTTTTCAACCCTTTTGTAGTTATTTTTCTGGGCGCATTTCTAGTCTCACCCCGTCGTTATTGATCATTCCTGACGCAGGAGTCTATTTTTCACCCGAACGAGAAATTACTCAAGTCTAACATCTAACATTTTAGTGTTTAACTGTTGCTCCTACTGAATGAGTGGTGGCTTCATGTTGTGTAAATATGTTCCCTGCTAGGTAATATAAGGGAATTATCTTATAGTTCATTTATCAAATGTTTACGACTCACCTTCCTCTATAATATTCCATGAATAATTATGAGATCTTAAGAAACATTTTCTACAAATACTAATACGTTACGGGGCTTCGGAAAATGAACTTTTGAGAATGTATAATAATCGACATTTTCATTGTCGAAGTAACTTTCAGGAATTTAAGGGATTCAAACAAAATCAGACATTCTACAAGAGACGTTTAGGTGTGACAGCGATGCAAGGGCACGATTCTGCTTGCCCAACAATGGATGTCGATTATCACATTCTGTATTCGGCACTCATAAGTAGCGTATTTTTCCGTTCTCAGCTCTAAAAATGATATCATAAGTCACCGAGCCATCTTTTTCTTTTGAGTATTTTTTGCACCTATCCTGAAAATAAAAGCCGTGCCTTTATGCCGCAGATGCTAAACGGAATTTCATCAACAATTCTTTATTCTAATAGGAGAACAAAACATAACAATAAAATAAGAGAACACAACTGATACCAAATGGCGGATAGGAATCTAATGAGTGCTCAAATAAAAAGAGAGAATATAATTATAATAAACAACAGTATTATTTACTAATTCCAATGAGGGCACAACCAGCAGGTCGCTAAACAATACACGACTCAAACTATTCTATGATAAAATTTATAACAAAACTAAACTTTAACACAACAAAATCACTGTAAAAATGACATCGTTCAAAAACTAGATAAATTAAAAAATAAATTGTTTTCGCACATTTGTTCAATCAGTGCTGGTATGAATACAATCACTAAATTTTGCCACTAAAGCTATTACATTATATTATATATTCAACACCATCAATAACTGCCCAGTAAAATTGAACCGTACATGCCATGCACCCTCCATATTATGAGAATGCCGAATAGTGATTTAACATGAACCAATACAGCATGAAAAAGTTCCATTAATTATTACACCATAAGTTGAAAGTATTGTCAACTGTTATTAGTTTATTCGGCCTGTATATTTACTTTTACTTGTCAACTGAACGTATCTTTGCTGGCACGTGGCACCACACTTAATCCAAAGCATATATCAAGTATATATCCGCGGCACGACTTAAGATGTAATGTCACGTCACATTTCTTGGATTGCACTGCTCACCGAATTAAGTTAATAATAATTTATTTGTTCTGAAAATGAAGCTATAGAAAAAATTATATTATGAATTTAAATGAAATTGTTATTAAATCGTAAAGCATGAAAATCCAGTGGCTTTTCTCAAACTCTGACAGACAGACGTATAGTAGATATGTTTATCAATAAAAATATTGTTGTCAAGGATTAAACCAAGATATCTAAAACATTAACCCAGACAAAAATTCTCCAATTGTTGGCAATATTCCGAAAAACTTGTTCAGGCATAGAAGTAAGAAGCATTTCCTCAGTTTTATATGCCCAAGTGGCAATTTGTTTAAGAGCCATTTCATTAATTCCACCGACACCCCGGGAATATCATCTCATTCTCTACTCTAAAATGGCTTCTCCGGGGCCTAATGTTCGGCGTGTTTGAATTTCGAATAAAAAGAAGATGAGATATCAGTTAAAGTACGAGTAGCATTAAACGAAATAGGCCTAAGGAAAGTGTCCTGCGGTTTTATGAATGTGATGGTTCTTATGGGGTTCTCTGAGATAAGAAAGAGGTTTTCATGTAATACATTTTCGACATTCTAGGATATTATGTATTAAAAAAGAACAATGATAATTTTTGAAAATACCCGTAAATTTGTACAATATACGAGTTACTGCCAGTTATTGACCAGTTCACAACGTTTGAAAATATATACATTACAAAAATATACATTTTGGTCAGCGCCAGTGTTATATCCACATGTCCCAACACAAGCACATTCTAATAGAATACACGCTACCCACCTAACTTGATGTCATTATTTCAAGAACATTCTCATGACACAGACGAGGTCTGTGACGCAGTCGCCAGTGACGGCGAGTTTAGTGCAGGGGCGGCTGTGGCACAACAGGGCGCGGGGGTCCACAATAAGAGGCAAGTGCGTCTTGGTGGTCCGTGGGGCTGTGGGAGAAGCCTCTGCCAATGCCAGAGCCACCAGCAGCACAAACCATTTTCTCGTGATCATTGGAGCCGATACTGGAAAAATATGTTAATAAATAAATATTTATGTATTTACTATTTATTTATTATTTATTTATATGTTATTTATTTATTATTTATTTATTTATTTATTATTTATTTATTTATTTATTATTATTTATTTATTTATTGTTATTTATATTTTTATTTACCGAATAAATGACAAATTTGATAAAATTTCTTTCACATGTAAATAATATAGAAAGACAATCCAAATTAGTTGTCTGCAATAACTTTTGACCGAAAAATATAAACAATATATAAACAATTCGTTCTATTGTTGCACACGCGGTATAATTTTTCTCACATTCCACCAGTGAGGAAATAACGATAACGGGAAGATAATACTTTTGATTAAACAGAGAAAGCCTACTAAACTACAGATAAATGTTTTTTTTTTCATTTATCTGTTATTCCTAAAAAATAAATAATCGTCAGTGGTGGCCCAGCTGAGGAAATTTAGTTAAGTACATGCAAAACTTTGCAATATTCTGCTAGATTCGAAAGCCACTAAGATGGTGAAACGTAGATGTCGTATACAGTAGTAAATTAATACATGTATTACAATATGTAAGCCAATAATAC